TGCCCTCAAGTCCCTGGCCTTCCCAGGTGTCTGCAGGCAGGGCCCTCTGCTCTGGGTCTTGGCCCAGCTGGCACTCGGGCACCAAATGCTGGGAGGCCTGAGGCCTGCAGGGAAGGCCTTGTTCAGGCCAGTGGTGAGTGGAGAGCAGGTGGACAGCGCCTAGGCTGCTAGCCTGTGGGAAGCAGCACATTTGTCCCTGGGGTGAGTGCCTCCTCCCCACTGTCCACCTGCTACTTCCACCTGGGGGTGGGGGTGAGTCAGGAAGCTAGAAAGGGGGAAAGGGGGTCAGGCTGGGGACAAAACTAGGCTGAGAGGCCCTCCTCTGGTGTAAAGCTGAGCAGACTGACTGACTCATTCATGCCTCAGTTGTTCACCCAGCCCGGGAACTGGCTGGAGCTCACAGCGTGGCCATCATCTCAGGAGACGTGCTGCAGGAGAGGACACCGCAAGCCCAGGGTCCCTGCTGGACCAGGCAGGACAGCAGGAGAACCGGCTGCAGCAACCCCAGCAGACCCTTGAGTGTGCATGGGGGCTAGGCACTGCCCTTAAGGTGATAGTGACTCAACCCTAACAAGTTATTTAATTCACCATGCAGCACTCTGATGTTTTTACCATTTGATATCTATGTGCCAGAGCAGGGGAGATATTTAAAATAGTGGTTTTACCATTATTACTTCTGTTTATAGATGGGGAAACTGAGGCAGCAGGGGTAGGGACTGAGTCAAGGTGCCCCGGTGAGTTAGCTGCAGAGCCAGGGGCAGAAACCTGGTGCTCGGCTCCCAGCTCTGGGTTCCCTGTCCACACCGTGTGGCCCCCTCCCCTCGCCCCCTCCCCAGCCTCTAGAATTCAGACCTGGTGTCCTGCAGCCCTTGTTCCTCAACCTCATAATATCTGACAGTACTGAAGACTATATCTGGTGTGCGGAAGAGGAGCCCGCGGCAGCCAGGGGATCTTGGTTCAAGTCTTCACTCTGCTGTCAAGATGCTGCGTGACTGGGGCAAGGCCCCCCAAACTCTCCCGTTCCAGCTTCTTCATTGGTCAGCTAGAGGGCTGGACTGGGTGCCTTCGAAGGCCCTTGGCAGGGGCTGTGTTTTAGGGCAGCCCCGGAAAGAGAATGGGGGAGGGCCATGGAAGGCTCCCAGGGAGGGGTACGGGTGGAACCAGGCTTGGGGAAGGGTGGCTGCTGCCTACAGGGACTCGGAGACTTGTCCCCATCCCCAGAGCTCTGGCTCAGCTTGTTACCTCCTGTCTCAGGCAGCTCTTCCGAGCGGCTGCTCAGGTTTCAGCCCAGAGTCTGTGATAGTAGGATCCCGGGAGACCCAGGGGCAGGTGGGTGACCCCGCTACTGGTAGGCCTCCAGGTACCCCTTCTCCTGCGGGTTATCTCTGGTCTGGGACAGACTGAGAAAGTGAGAAGCTGAGATATCTCCCCCACTTCCCTCCAGAGATAGGCCTGCCTCAAAGCCCTCTTGTTCGGCCCCCTTCACACCCACTGGCCCCCTGGGAGGTGGGGGTGCACCACTGCAGTGCTGAGACCGTGGCAGGGGGCCAGGAGTGAGGCTGCGGGGACTGAGCCCCAGGCGGGGAGCAGGAGCCTCAAGGGTTGTGAGGCCCCCCTCTTCACCCATTCATCACATGTTCATTGAGCACCAACTATGTGCCAAGCAAGGGAGAGATGAAAAATAGTTCACACCCAGGGTGGCCTAGGCATTGGCCAATCAGATGACAGGGAAGTCATTCCAGAGATCCCCTTTGGGGACAGGTGGCACCTGCTATTTGCTAGCTCATGAGAAGGTCTGGGGACTCTGGGGGAAGGTCCAGGCAGCATGGAGGGGCCTTGGAGACCTGGAGCAGAGGCCAGTTACCAGTAGATTTGGGGGCACTGCAGGAAACCTGTCAGGTTTCCTGGTGACTCCCACCCTGCAGTGTCATAATGAGGAACCTGGGGGACAGGACCACCTGGGGGTAAACATGCCACCTCTGTGGGTGTGGCCTCAAATTCTTGTCTGTAAAATGCACCTGGGAGTGGCTTGCTTTGCATAGAAGTTGAGGTGGAAGCAAGGTCCCCCTAGCCGGTGGCTGCACACTGTGCCGGAGCAAATTAGGATGATATGATGAAATTGCTGCTTTTTGACCATTTCTGACAAAACTGCATTTCCCATGTTCAGGTAGAGTGAGTGCTGGTGAATGTAGGAATTCAGGTTTCCAGGCCTCATTCCTGGTCCTGAGGACACAGCAGAGAGCCAGGCTGGCTGGGCCCTGCACTCAGGAGCCCGAATCCGGCAGGCAGACAGGTAATCGTGGGCATGAGGCAGCTGGTGGCTTCCAGGAAGGCGTGGCAAACAGCATAACAGCCGCCTGGGCGTGGCCACATCCTCATCTCTGGAATTTGTGATCATGTCGCCAAAAGGGGCTTTGCATTGATTAGATTAATTAATTAATTAAATCACATTAAATTAAGGAGTTTGAGAAGGGGGATTAGTCTGGATTGTCCAGGTGGGCCCAATGTAATCACAGGGGTCTTTTTAAGAGGAAGATAAACTGACCTGTACACATAAAAAATGGCTAAAATGACAAATGCTATGTTAGATATATTTCAGAAAATTAATGATGTCGTTAATAAGCTCCAGATCGTTGAACGGTGCACTTTAAATGGGTGAACCGTACGGTATGTGACTGTATCCCAATGAAGCTGCTTGACGGAAGCAAACGGAGAGACCTTCTGGCAAACACTTCAGCGGCCTTCCCCAGAAGCACCCGGCATGAGCACCACCACAGGCGGGAGGCGCTACGGTGATGCCAAATGCCACATGGGATCCAGGACTGATTCTGAACAGGGACGGACGTCGGTGGCAAAGGTGGTGACATCTGAATGAAGACTGGAGTTTATGGGGTGTATCCATGTGAACGGCTTCATCTTGATAAACGTAGCTCAGTTATGGTAGATGTTAATATTGGGAAGTCCGTTAGGAAGAATATATGGGAACTCTGAGTCATCCTTACAACTCTTGTAAAGCTAAAATGAGTTCTAAATGAAAAGTTAAAAAAAAAATAGAGGGCGGGAAGACGGTCAGGGTCAGACAGGAGACCTGGCGACGGAGGCGCGAAGAGAGGGAGAGAGGGGAAGGCGCTGTGGTGCTGGCTTTGGAGAGGCGCCGCGGGCCGGGGACCGCAGGGGCGTCCGGGAGCCGCAGAAGGCGAGCAAACGGGTTCTCCTGCAGAAGCAGCGCAGCCCCGACGACATCGGGGTCTCCAAGACTGTAAGATTAAAAACCTGTGTGGTTTTAAGTCACCAGGTTTGTGGTAATTTGTTACATCAGCCCCAGGACATGCACAGAGAAGGCAAGGGGGTGGTGAGGATGATCTCTCAATCACGGCCCAGCAGTTTCTTCAAGCACTTTGCTTACGTTAATTCAGTTAATCTGCGAACACCCCTCCGCAGAGGGTCTATTATTACTCCCATTTTAGACGAGGAAGCTAAGGCACAGAGAGGTTAAGTAACTTGCCCGAGGTCACACAGCAGGAGGCAGCAGAGGAGTTTCTAACCCAGGCATCTGTGGCTGGAGTGTGTGTCAGAGTTCACCTGGGTGTGAAATCTGACACCATCTGATCGGTGTGAGGCCCTTTGCAGAAAGGGTTTGGTTAATTTCACAAATCCCTGTAGTAGATGTTCTTGTCATTCTCCATGTTGCAGGTGGGGAACTGAGGCCCAGTGAGATGGAGCGCCTTGCCCAAGGTCACAAGGACCAGGCTCGGGAGAGTTCCCCAAGGATGCTGCTGCCTCCAGCTGGGGTCCAACGCCCCTCCCAGCTCTACCTGCACATCCCCTGCGCTCCCTGAGTGGGAATGGCATCCTCATCAGATGACCCCACACCCCTGCCTGCCAGACGCTGAGGGACATCCCGGCCCCATTGTTCAGGCCAGGAAGCCGCCTCTTCCTTTGATGGCCAGGGAGGCAGCCTCTGGGGGAAAGGTCCTTCCCAGACTGGTGAATGCCCGGGGAGCAGACCCCGGCCAGGCCTGGGACAGAAGACACAGGCTGGCCCTGCAGGGGTGGGGGCCAGCAGGGGGCTGCTTGTCTGTGGGTCACCGTGTCTCTTCTTACAGAAACCTTTTCTGGGGGCGTGGACCCCAAACCAAGGGCAGCTGGTGACAGCACCTGGGGCTGGGGGCTAAGGGGCTGTTGTTTAAGGCATGGTCTTCTTGTTGGGACTCAGTTTTCTCTGCTGTAAAATGGGAGCGTGGGGGTCTCGGAGCTCCCAGAGCTCTGCAGAGCCGTGCTCCCCTGTTCATTCATAACAGAGTGAACTCTTACGGGGGTCCACACAACATCTGTTCCAGGGAAGTCTCGGGGTGACCTGGGGTGAAACACTCCATTGCAGTCTGTTGTAGAGATGGGGGAAACTGAGGTGCAGAGAGGTTAAGGAATGCCCAAGGTCATCCAGCGGTGAACTTAAAGCTGAGGTATGTGCTGGGGCCTCAGACTTGATGGGCCACCCAAGGTCGCCCGCCACACCCACTGGCCTTCAGTTACTGCCACATGGAGCTGAGGGGTGTGCGCTGGATGGGGGTTGGGGTTGGCAGTGAGACTCTCCTGTAGGGGGATTGTGGGAACTCGAGAACATGGGGACAGGGAGGGCTTCTTGGAGGACATGGCATCTGAGCTGAGCAAAGGTAAGCGGTTAGCCGTGAGCTGGTGAAGGAAGGGGAGGGGGCGTCCTGGCAGAGGACAGCCCTGCTTCGAAGAAACAGGAAACCTTCTACACGACTCCCTTCTGGCTCACAGGCCCATCTGCCCAGTGGGCTGCTTAGACCTGTGCTGTCCTGGGGTCCCTGCTGAGCTCCCTCTGGCAGAAGCAGGGCTGTCTGTCCACGGGTGGGGCCTTCCGGCACCTGACAGCTCTGCACTGGACTGTTAGCCCGATAAGTCATTAAGAGCTTGGTCTCAGGAGCCCCATCACCCCATTCGGACCCTGTCCTGTAGATGTTAATATTGGGAAGTCCGTTAGGAAGAATATATGGGAACTCTGAGTCATCCTTACAACTCTTGTAAAGCTAAAATGAGTTCTAAATGAAAAGTTAAAAAAAAAATAGAGGGCGGGAAGACGGTCAGGGTCAGACAGGAGACCTGGCGACGGAGGCGCGAAGAGAGGGAGAGAGGGGAAGGCGCTGTGGTGCTGGCTTTGGAGAGGCGCCGCGGGCCGGGGACCGCAGGGGCGTCCGGGAGCCGCAGAAGGCGAGCAAACGGGTTCTCCTGCAGAAGCAGCGCAGCCCCGACGACATCGGGGTCTCCAAGACTGTAAGATTAAAAACCTGTGTGGTTTTAAGTCACCAGGTTTGTGGTAATTTGTTACATCAGCCCCAGGACATGCACAGAGAAGGCAAGGGGGTGGTGAGGATGATCTCTCAATCACGGCCCAGCAGTTTCTTCAAGCACTTTGCTTACGTTAATTCAGTTAATCTGCGAACACCCCTCCGCAGAGGGTCTATTATTACTCCCATTTTAGACGAGGAAGCTAAGGCACAGAGAGGTTAAGTAACTTGCCCGAGGTCACACAGCAGGAGGCAGCAGAGGAGTTTCTAACCCAGGCATCTGTGGCTGGAGTGTGTGTCAGAGTTCACCTGGGTGTGAAATCTGACACCATCTGATCGGTGTGAGGCCCTTTGCAGAAAGGGTTTGGTTAATTTCACAAATCCCTGTAGTAGATGTTCTTGTCATTCTCCATGTTGCAGGTGGGGAACTGAGGCCCAGTGAGATGGAGCGCCTTGCCCAAGGTCACAAGGACCAGGCTCGGGAGAGTTCCCCAAGGATGCTGCTGCCTCCAGCTGGGGTCCAACGCCCCTCCCAGCTCTACCTGCACATCCCCTGCGCTCCCTGAGTGGGAATGGCATCCTCATCAGATGACCCCACACCCCTGCCTGCCAGACGCTGAGGGACATCCCGGCCCCATTGTTCAGGCCAGGAAGCCGCCTCTTCCTTTGATGGCCAGGGAGGCAGCCTCTGGGGGAAAGGTCCTTCCCAGACTGGTGAATGCCCGGGGAGCAGACCCCGGCCAGGCCTGGGACAGAAGACACAGGCTGGCCCTGCAGGGGTGGGGGCCAGCAGGGGGCTGCTTGTCTGTGGGTCACCGTGTCTCTTCTTACAGAAACCTTTTCTGGGGGCGTGGACCCCAAACCAAGGGCAGCTGGTGACAGCACCTGGGGCTGGGGGCTAAGGGGCTGTTGTTTAAGGCATGGTCTTCTTGTTGGGACTCAGTTTTCTCTGCTGTAAAATGGGAGCGTGGGGGTCTCGGAGCTCCCAGAGCTCTGCAGAGCCGTGCTCCCCTGTTCATTCATAACAGAGTGAACTCTTACGGGGGTCCACACAACATCTGTTCCAGGGAAGTCTCGGGGTGACCTGGGGTGAAACACTCCATTGCAGTCTGTTGTAGAGATGGGGGAAACTGAGGTGCAGAGAGGTTAAGGAATGCCCAAGGTCATCCAGCGGTGAACTTAAAGCTGAGGTATGTGCTGGGGCCTCAGACTTGATGGGCCACCCAAGGTCGCCCGCCACACCCACTGGCCTTCAGTTACTGCCACATGGAGCTGAGGGGTGTGCGCTGGATGGGGGTTGGGGTTGGCAGTGAGACTCTCCTGTAGGGGGATTGTGGGAACTCGAGAACATGGGGACAGGGAGGGCTTCTTGGAGGACATGGCATCTGAGCTGAGCAAAGGTAAGCGGTTAGCCGTGAGCTGGTGAAGGAAGGGGAGGGGGCGTCCTGGCAGAGGACAGCCCTGCTTCGAAGAAACAGGAAACCTTCTACATGACTCCCTTCTGGCTCACAGGCCCATCTGCCCAGTGGGCTGCTTAGACCTGTGCTGTCCTGGGGTCCCTGCTGAGCTCCCTCTGGCAGAAGCAGGGCTGTCTGTCCACGGGTGGGGCCTTCCGGCACCTGACAGCTCTGCACTGGACTGTTAGCCCGATAAGTCATTAAGAGCTTGGTCTCAGGAGCCCCATCACCCCATTCGGACCCTGTCCTTGTCACTCACCACCCCATCAGTCAGCTGCCTGGTGTGAGTGACTTCTCACTGTTACTTGTCTGGGTGTTGCTCTCAGTGTTTGTGCTTGCTGACAAGTCCATCCCACCAGGCTCACATCACAAGAGGCCTGTGGCCTGAATGTGTGCAGAGGGTACCAGCCAGGAACTGAGCACAGCGTGGGGCAGGTGGCTGGGCGTGGTCTGGGCAGTGGGGACACCGTGGCTGAGCAGGTCTCCAGGGATCACCTGGGAACTAGGCCCAGCAAGGCCAGGTCTGCAGAGTGTTCAGGAGATGCCAGAAATCCAGACTCTTGTGGAATCTCCTAATTTTTAAGGGAAGACCAAATTTTAGAAAACAATTTAAGGACAAGAAAACTGGGCTGGATTCTGCCCTCAGGTTTACCACATGTCACCCTTTGCCTTTGTACCTTGGCCCAGGACTCTAATTCCCAAATAAGCACCTTGATTTACATATAGCCAAATGCAAAGGCAGGCGAGAGCTCCTTGCCCTTCTCCGTTTGCTTCTTCCCTCCCTGCCTTTGGGATGGAACCCTCTTGAAGGCAGTAGGTTTTTGTCTGTTGTGTTCACTGCAGTATCTCCAGGGTCTAGCCCTGCATCTGGCCCACAAGAGGTGCACCATCAGTTGTACATTACCTGTTGAATGCATGAACAAATGAGTGAATGATTAGAGGGATGCAGGGTGATGGAGGTAGATGGGGTACAGAGGAAGAACTGTAGCATAGCTGATGGGCTGAGTGACTGTGCACAGTTCACGGCACCTTTTGGGGCCTCTCTGTGCTCATCTGTAGAGTGGGCATGGCGCAGGTCCTTGGGAAAGCAATTTGGCCAACCGTGCCAAAATGTTTATGACTCACTGACCCAGTAATTCCATTCCAACCAAGGAGATAGCCCTAAATATGGAAAAAAGAAAGCTTTCTGTGCAAAGATCTACCAAAACGTATTATTTATAATGTTGAACAACTGGAAATAACTGAGATGTTCAACAATAAGGGACTGGCTAAATAAACTGGAACTTCCACTTGACAAAATATTAGGCAGCCAATAAAAATGAGGCTCTGAGAAGAGGAAAAAGAAATGAGGTTACAGAGATGAAATAACGAGAAAAGTGCCCATGATATAATGGCAAGTCAAAGAGGCAGGATACCGCCATTCTGTTTTTTCCCTTTAATATACAGTATGATCTCAGTCATGTTTAAAAAAAGTCCCCAAACAAAAAACTATGGAAGGAAATACATCAAACCGTAACAATGATTGTCCCCGGCTGGTGGGGCAGTGGGTGGTGATTTTTCTTCCTTATTTTGACTTTTCTGCATTTTTCAGATTTTCATAAGTGAACATGTATTGTGTTTTTATAGTAAGGGCATTTCAAATGAAAAAGAATTAGAATTTGAGAGTGGGAGGACATGCTAAGATCGGCACATGCCTCTCAGAGGGAAGCTCAAACTCACCTCTGGGGCATTGGGGAAGAGTCCGGGTCTGGGGTGGGCAACCTGAGGGTTTGCCTGTGTGACCCTGGGTAAATTGTTCCACCTCTTTGGGCCTTCCTGGTGTCACTTGTAGGATGGGGCCTGGTCCCCTATTTCATAGGAGTGTAACAGGAACAGGACAAGGTCTTGGCTCTGTAAGGGCCTCAGGGATTCTAACCAAATGAAGGGAAATGGTGTCATTATTATCAGTTGCTGGGAAGGCCAGTTCTGCTTTCAGACACCTTGGAAAGATATCGGTGTCCTTCTCAGGGAGTCCCTGGAATATTTTTGGATCCTGGGGGTACAGATGCTCCTGACTCATTTTGGAAAGTAGAACTAAGGTGATTTCCAGAAACACATCATGTGCAGAGGAGGAGCATGGCCAGGGGTTAGAGTCCAAGTTTCCGGCCTCAGCCCCACCCTACTGCTGTGGGATCTTGGCAAGACACTCAGCCTTCCTGGCCTCAGCTTACCCGTTGCCGTGGGCCCTGGACGCAGAGATCACTAAGGTTCCTAGGCTGTGTCTGCTTAAACAAGACCCTCTCACCCAGGCCCTTCGGGGCAGGGACCCAGGAGTCTGAGAGGCAGCCCCTCGCCAGCTGGGCTCCCCAGAACCTCCCATGTGTGGCCTGTGACCTCATTTCCAGTCCATCAGTTCCCTGAGAGAGCATGTCTGTGGTTGGGGGACATCTCCCAGTGGGTCTCTGGAAGCTCAGCCTGCCATGATGGGATTACCTCAGTCTCCCTCAGCACCCTCTGTCACATTGGACCCCATAGAGGGTCCAGGGGTCGGGGCAAGGGTGGAGGCTGCTTCAGGGCAGGTAGCATGTACATGAAAAAGAGCACCTGCGTGCATGCAGCTGGCACACACTAGTGGTGGGCATCACACTCCCATCCTTGTTGCCACAAGGAACCTCAGAAATCCCGGACACTGCCTTGGACATGTCGTAGATGTGTCCACACAGACCTGTCACATCTCTGCAGACACAACTCAAGGATGTAATTATGGTCTAATTAACCATACGGTCGATGCTTGTCCTGTGCTTTCCACAGGCCCACTTTCCACAGCGGCCATGGCCACGCATTGTCACAACCATGTCGTGAGACAGGCCCTGATGCTCTTTGGTGCTTACAGATGGGGAGCTAGGGCTCAGAGAGGTTCAGAAACTTGCCAAAGGTCACACAGCTGGCAAGGGGCCAGGATTTTAGCCCAGGCTGGCTGGCTCAAGTCCACCCTTGTGACTGTGATGCTTGGAGATCATTTAGTTTCTTCCAGCTGCTGTTTTGGCAAATGAGGAGAAGCTTATCATAGGTTAGTGGCTTACCGAGGTCACACAGCAAATCAATGCAGAGCCCAGACCTGCCCCAGATGCCTGAATTCTTCAGCCCCGGCTTCTGTGCCCAGCACAGCGCTCAGCACAGAGGTCGGTGGGTTGGACCAAGCGGCTTCACTGCTCATTCACTCGTTGATCCATCTACTAAGATCCTTCTTGGTGCCATGGCCTACATCCTGCCCTGGGGGTTTAGAGATGAACCAAATCCATCTGCTGGCCATATAACCCAGGGACTTCCAGGAAGAGGTGACAGCTGAGAGTGGGTCGGGAGGAGGGAAGGAGGGTGTGCTGGGCCTAGGGAACAGCTGATGCATTTGGGGAACCCCCATGGTTTCTGGGAGGGTCGGCAAAGGGAAGAAGAGGAGGCTGCCAGGTCTGATGCTGCCAGGGGCCAGTGGGTGGCTGAGGGGTGGGAAGGCAGATGGGGAGTCAGTGGAGCCACTCAGGAAGTCTGAGGGAGTGAGGGAGAGGAGACCAGGGTTAGCAGAGGATGTGGTCCCTGCCTGCCTGGGTCACCACAGAAGGGGAAGTGGGGGCTGGGCTGGGTGGGGCTGAGGTCATGAGGCAGTGTGGGCCGCGGCACAGCAGCACCCCAGCTCCAGCCTGGGGAGGCAGTCCTGCCAGTGCTGGTGCCTCCGGGCGGGAAGTGGGAGCGGGGAGCGGGCCCAGCACCAAGCTTCTCCCAGGCTGTGGCTGTTTCCCCAATGTGTCCAGCTCATTCCCACCTCAGGGCCTCTGCACCTGCCGTCCCCTCTGATTGCAGTTCTTTTAATCATTCCGCTCTTCAGATGTCACCTCCTCCAACAAGTCTCTGGTCCCTGTGAACCACCCTGCCCCTTGCCGCCTGTCTTCCCTGTGCCCTGCTCCATCTGACTGCTCATTATCGCCCTCATCACCACCGGCCAGTGTTCCTCTTGGCTCGCGTGGTCCTTGCTGGGCCCCCCTGTCAGGACAGAAGCTCCATGAGGAGAGGGGCTTGGTCTACGTGGTTCATCACTGAATCTCTAGCTCCTAGCTCAGTGCCTGGCACACAGGGGGCCCTCAACAACATAGTACTGAGCCCTCACTCTGAGCCAAGCACCGCCCTGTGGGCAGTAACTCATTTAATCCTGGAACCGCTATGGGCAGGGGTCAATCCTGGAATGGTGGGGGCTAACACTGAATCAATCTCAGAATCTTTAAGGAAAACACCCATGATTGGGAGCATGAGATGGAAAGGGTGCCTTGGAAGGGGGCATGCGGGTGAGGGGCGTGGGGCCTGAAGTTCGTTAGCAAACGTGCTCTGCCTCTGGGGTGCGGGATTATCTGCATGTTCCATGTGAGGCCACCGGGCACAGAGAGGCTAAGTGACTTGCCCCCCCTTGGCTTGCAGGTGGCAGCCCTGGGATTTGAACTCAGAGTCCGGATTCAATGACTCCAGAAGGTTTGGATGCTATGAAACTTTCACATTTGTTGAATACATGAATGACTGGTGAGCTTTCAACAAGTAATTTGCCTTCCTAGGGCCTCACGTCCTCATTTGGAACATGAGGAGGTGCCCTGAGCAGGGGGACAGCCCATTTTGAGAGGCTCCCTGCCCCTCCTCTCACCCTGCCAGGAAGACACCTTGGGGACAGCATGGACAACAGCTCTGAGGAAGGGGTGTGCCTGATGCGTTTGGGGACAGCTGGAGGGGAGTGAGTGAGGGATGGCGGGGGGAGGAGGGGGCTGCAGCCTGAGAGGCTATGGGGCAGATCACAGAGGGCCTACGGGTCGTTGTCAGGACTCAAGGAGAGGGAGGCCACCACGGGGGCTTTGGGTAGAGGTGTTTCTGCTCCACAGGCTCCCTCGGGCTGCTGTGCGGAGAACAGACCCACAGAGTGGAGGGCAGAAGGAGGGACACCAGTCAGGAAGCTACTGCAGGGGTCCAGGCGAGAGGCGATGGTGGCCCAGAGCAGCGTGGTGGGTCGAGATGGGAGAAGCAGGGGGACTCCGGATTATCTTGAACATTGGCCCAACTGGATGGCAATGGGTCGTGTTCCAATGACCCAATGCTGCGAAATGAACCAGCCCGAAACCTAGTGGCTCAAGGCAATCAGAACCATTTCATGATCTCTCACAGTTTCTGTGGGTCAGGAAGCCGGAGTGGGCTTGGCTGGCTGGTCTGGCTCGGGGTCTCGCATGAAGCTGGAGCTGGTGGCTGGAGCAGGAACAGCAGGATGGGAGCAGTGCATGCTGGCGGGGCATCTCTCTCCAGTCCCTGTCCTCTCAGGGCCTCTCCATGCGCTCTCTCTGTGTGGGCTGGTTGTTGTTCCTCACACGTGGCAGTGTAGAGCTCCAGAGGTGAGAGTCCCGAGAGTCCCAAGCAGAAGCTACATTGCATTTTCTGACTAGCTCAGAAGCAACAGAGCACCACTTTTTGCAAGTTCAAATTTACCCAAACTCAAGGGGAGGGAGTGTGGGAGGGGCGTGTGTCCGGGGGGAGGACATTGGCCTTGCCCTGTATGTGTGGGATGGGAGTTCTTGCAGTGGCCCTCTCTGCAAAATGCAACCTCTCACAGACTGAAAAAGCCAAATTTGCATGCTGTCGCTGCTTGATGAGACCGAATTGCTCAGCCTCTTCATGCCTCCGTTTCCTCATTTGTACCAGGGAATGGATACCAGTTACATCCTAAGGTTGGGATTTCACATGAGCCACGCCTGTCCCCATCGGGCTTCCTCGTGGACGTGAGCTTCCCATCCCTGCTTCCCTCCAACCGTGTTCACGCACTGGCACACCTGGAGAGGTTCTCCTGCACGGAGAAGAGGGAAACAAACAGTCTGTGTGTGGCTGTGCCTCATGGCGTCCGCTAACTCTGCGCCACCTCCTTGTATGCGTCTGCGCACATGCATATACAGGTGTGCTTGTGTGTGCACACCACATACTCTGTGCCACTGAGCACATCTCTTTTCCAACCAAGACGTGAGGGCAACTTGGCCTCTAGCCAGCTGCTCTGGTAGGAAACATCGCCCCGCCCACCGCCGCCAGATGCTCACCTGGACCTCGGGTTCCCCTCAGACCCAGGCTCAGGGTGTCCCATCACTTTTCACATGCCAGGCCTGTCACCGCCACCTCCCTCCTGCTGGGTTCCTCGATCCTCCTCAGCTCTCCTCTCCAGGGCACCTTGAGCGATCTCAGGGGCAGGCATGGAATTCTAGAAAGGGCAATGTTATGATGCCAGCAGGCGCCAGTGGTTGCCAGGGGCAAGCGGGAGAGTTGCGTATGATAGGTGGGGCATGAAGGGACTTGCAGGGTGAGGAAAATGCTCTGTGTCCCAGCCAGGTGGTGGTTACTTGACTTTGAGTTTTGACATCTGGTGGCTTACTCTGTGTACATTATATCTTGATAAAGCTGACAACAAACCTCCCCAGGCTCCTCATACATTCAAGTGCTTGTTGAGCACCTACTGTGTGCCTGGCACTGCTCTGGATGCTAGGGCACAGCGGCAGGCAGAACCTCAGTGAGGGGAGACAGCAGGTGAAATAATGACAAGGAGCGTGACAGACAGCGAAGCCCCAGAGAAATCTGGTCACCTGGGAGACAAGGCAGGCCAGACTCATTCCCAGGCCTTGGGCAGCCTGTCTCCTCTCCTCTGCCCCTCCCACAGTCTTCCCTGTGAGGCCAGACTCTCAGAGAGGGGCCGTGGTGGCCTGTGCTTCCTGTCCCAGCAGGAAGAGATGACAGTGGGAGGGGAGGAGACACGCGGACCCATCCTCAGTGGCAGGGCCAGGACACACGAGCTGTTTCAGAGCCCGTGTGCACACTCCAGGCACACACAGGCCCCAGGCCTGGGCACACGCATCCTCCTCAGACACTGATGCACACATATGAACACTGGACTCTGGCCCCTGTGCAATCTACACCCTAGTTTTTGTACCCATATTCTTTTAGGCACATCCAGTGGCTTCCACACTCTTTGTGCACAAACATATATAATACAGGCTGGTGGGCACACATGCACACATGGTGAGAGATAATGCCTATTGAGCTGCTACTCTTGATGTATTCTACCTCAGTCTTCCCAACCGCCCAATGAGGCAGGTCCTGCCAGGATCCCATTTTACAGATGGGGAAATAGGTGCCAGGGGGTAGTTACCTTGCCCAAAAGAGTAAGGAGGCTGACAGTGGCAAGCTGGGATCTGAAGCTAGGCTGTCTGGCCCCAGGGTCTGGTGTGTGTGGCTCTCCACAGCGACCACCAGGTGTTGGCGACAACTGTTTCCAGTGTCTCCTGCACACCCAGAGGCACTGTGCCCCATGTGTGCGCAGCACCTCAGAGCTTACAAAGCCCTCTCAGCCTGAGAGGTGAGGAGAATGGGTTGATTATCCCATTTTACAGAAGAGGAAATTGAAAGAGAAAGGACAGTCATGGGTCTTGCTCACGGTCCCACGGGGGTTGATGGCAGAAGAGGACTAGAGGCCGCATGCCGGACACCCGGTCTCCTGAGCTTGCCCCCCCCTCCAGGAGTGTTGAGGTGCTGGTTGCTGCCAGGTTCACTCTCCTCTCACTGCCTAGGCTCGGGGATTTTCTGCAGAGTCACGAGTGAGGGGAGGTCTGAGTAGGCAATAGAGCATCATGGGCCCTGGGCAGGAGGGGGACCTTCCTGCGAAGGCAGAGTGTCCATACTAGTTTTGGGGGGTGCTTGAGGGTGGAGGGGGAGTCTGAGGGTCCCGATGTCCTGGGTCCTGAAGCTACTCTTGGGACCGGCCCCTGCGGGGGCCTGAGCAGAGCAGGTGCGCCTTATCCGTGCCTGTACATGGGGGTGGCTTGTTTCAGCCAGGGGACAGGCCTCCGAAGGACTGGAGAGTCTGCACTGCCTGAGGGAGAGCAGGTCAAGGCCAGGGGAGGGGAACCTGAGCGGGCTCCACGCCCCGGTTGGTCGCGGGGAAGGCAGAGTCCCCTGGCACCTGTCCGGGGGTGAGGCGCGCCGGCCCGGGAAGTGTGGCCCCCAGCCCATCCTTGCTCTCTCTGTCCTCTGCAGGAGGCTGCGCCCGGCCAGGCATTGTTCGCAGGTTTAAAAATAAAGGCATGTTGGCCTGGTCCCTGCTGGCAGAGGGGAGGAGGGGGCGGCCCTGCCCCAGGCCTGAAGGGTTGGAAAAGGAGGCCTCACCCAACTCCACCACTAGCACAGCTGGAAGCATGGGGGTCCCCAGAGAATCTCTGGCACCTCAGTTCTTCTGCCATGAGAGGTGCACGCAAAGGATGTCTGGGTGCCAGCTGCCCTCTCCTCACTCCAGCCACTAAAGGCTGCCTGTCACCTTCACCAGAAGTTTCCAACAAGCCAAGGCCAACTGGGGAGTCATGAGCTCCCCCCAATACTCCCTTTCCCCGACCAGTTGGTAACATTAACAGCTGGTAGCAGCTATGTCCCCATAATCCCAGTGGGAAAGGCACTGTTGGTTACCACTAGACAAATGAAGAAATCAAGGCTCAGAGGTTTAATAACTTGCCCAAGGCACATGGCTGGTCAGTGGAGGAGCCAGGCCTCAAACCGGGGTCTGTCTGACTCGTGGGTCAGGATCTTCACCAGGTACCCACTGCCCCTCACCACTCCAGAGCCCCGCCTCCTCCCAGGTCCGTGTCCCAGGCCCTACACAGCCAGCACAGGGAGGAAGCTTTCTACTTTCCCATGTGGTCAGGGAGTGGGAAACCACAGGGTAGCATGGAGAGGAGGAAGGGAAGCAACACAGAAGGGGCACTCGGGTGTGCCCGGGCCTGGGTAGGGTGCGGTGTGGGGTGGTGGTAGCTTATTCAATTCTCACACCAAGTCCTTGCACAGGGGGATTGTCTCCATTTGGTAGATGAGGAAACTGAGGCCCAGAGAGGCAGTCACCGTGGAGATGGGATGTGAACCCAGTGTCGGAAGGAATCCCCAGTACAGAGCACTACCTCCCCAGACCGCATCACAGTTTAAGTATAAACCCAGAGGCACCCGGGTGTGCGTGGCTGGAGGGAAGGAACTAGTGCCCCCCCGCCACTCCTGAAGGGATGGAAAGTGGGAGCAGCAGGCCAGTTCAGGGGGCCTGGGTCAAGTCCAGCTCAGGATGTCTCCTACCTGAGATGCGGCTCATGCCTGCCAGCCTCCCCATTCCAGACGAGAGATCCGGTGATCCCCCATTGGCCCCGAGGCCTCTGCCGAGGCTGGCATACTGGTGCTGGCACCGGAAACCAACATTCCAGAGGCCCCCCGCAACTCCCTGCCAACACTGGATTCTTGGCAGAGCAGGAGACTGGGGGCTTCTGGGAGACTCTTAGGACCTTGAGGGAGATGGCTGTGGTTGGGGAGGACTGTGGGAGGGGCCAGAGTCTGAACACCTGTCCTAGCATGTGGGATGAACTAGGCTGGAGACAGGCAACCCCCACTGGAGCCCCAGGGAATGTACATCTCTGGCCTGCTCACCTACACCCCAACAGAAGCCTGTGCAGGGGCTACAGTGCAGCCTACAGACTGAGGGGGATGGGCTGAGGGCAGGGTCCCAGACTCGGTGTTCTTGAAAGGACACATCCTATTCAGGTGGAAAACTCCTCTTACTACACATAAAAGGTTTTTCCAGGCAGAGCTCTGACTTGCTGGGTGACCTTGGGCAAGACACATGCCCTCTCTGTCCTCAGAGGCTCACGAGAGGACTGAAGCAGGTAAATCTTGAGGTGCCCTCCAGCAAACAGTTTTTGTTGCCCCAAGGTGTTACGACTTTCACCTCGTCTCTGGGTTCCCTGCTGTCCCATCTCTACAGGGCAGCCAACAGAGCCTTTTAAATCTGAGTCCGGCAAGCGGCTCCCCTGTTCATCTCCCTGGGAGGGGGGGGGATGGCTTCCTCCCTGTCTGGCCTCTGCTGCTTCCTGGCCCCTGTGCCCGTCTGCCGCCTGCTCCCTCTTGGGAGTGGTCTCCTGGCCTCCTGACCGTCCCAAACTGGACAAGTTTATTCTCTCCCAGGCATCTGCCCTTGTCCCTTCTGGCCTGGAGGGCTCGGCCCCACCCAGATCTTCTAATAGTTCTCTCTGGTCATCCAAGACTCAGCTCAAATGTCACCTCAGAGAGGCCCTCCCTGACCCTTTCTGCAAACCAGGGCCTTGCGCCCTACCCGGGTTTCAGGACCACATCTCTCTGATCTATTTCATTGATATCATTTGTCACAACGAAAACGGTCTTGGTTGTTTACTGTCCACTTCCTGGTTGTCCTTCTTCCTCTCCAGTGTCCACTCCGGGAGGGCAGGGTGTCGCTTCTTCCCCTGCGCCGGGCCAGCAAGCAGCAGGCGCTCAGCGAGTCTTTCTTCAGTGAATGACCGTGACACTGTGGTCTCCCAGCCGCCAGGCCCCTCATCTTGAGCATGTGCCTTTCCCGGGAACTCGCTGTTTCCTCCCTCCATAGCCGCCCCCACCTGGACTGGTGGTAAAGTTCCTGGGGACTGGGCTCTGGGCCTAGCAGCCTGAGGGCAGGGCAGGGAGGGAGGGCAGACCCATGACCCCTGGTCCCCTTGCAGCTTGTCCCCCAAGAGCAGGAGAGCCGCCCTGGACCTGGAAAACCCCCTGGGTCTGACTGCTGGGGCAGGCAGTTCTGGGGTGACCTCATCGCCTTGAAAGGAGGGCAGCAGGGGCAGGAAGTGAAGGACGCATCAGATGGGCTAAATTTAGAGTGTTTGATTAAGCTCAGGCGGGACAATATTCCTGGAGCCCCCATTGTTTGTGAGGGGCCAGAGGGCAGGCCATCCAGTGAAGGGCTGGGGCTGAGTCCTGCCAAGCTGCCTGGCATGCAGGGGTTGGGGGCAATGGGTGGGGCAACCCCTACCCTGTCAGAGGGGAAGCCAGGCCAAGGGACATCAGGGCAGAGCCAGGTGGGGTGCAGGCTCTGGGGGCACCGCCCTCAGGATTAAGGCCAGAGGTGGGAGGGAGGATACCTCACAGATGAGGCTGGGGGCTCAGGGCAGCCCTGATAACAGCCTTTCAACTCTGGGACCCTCACAGCAGCCAGATGGCCATCAGTCCCCCCACTCTGCCATTTTACAAGCCAGACGCCTGAGGCCGGGACCCAGGGAACCAGCCCGAGTCCACAGCAGTCAGGGCTGGAGCTGTGAGCTCTCACTCCAGCATCGCCCTCTCCCCACCAGGCCAGGCAGCCACAGGGGCACTAGACACGGTGGCTCTCCCTGCGCAGGC